TCCCGGCCGCCACCGGGGGCCCGGGACAGCGCTGCCGGCCAGCGGGAGCACGTGGCCGGGTGATGCTCGTGCCAGAGCCGTGATGCACAGAGGGGCCACGGCGCGGGCGAAAGCGCGGCATGTGCTTTAATAAGGGCAAAGCTACCAGGATGATTTCCACTAAGTTTTCCTAATGCTGCCAATTAACAGCAAGTGGCTTCCCTCCCCTCCTAGGAAATTAATTTGCTATTAATTCATGATACATCTGCTAATTAGCACCTAGGCACACGGGCCGGATGCCTTTGCAAACACCGCGCAGCAGCGAGGCGGTGTGCTTGGGAATGGGGTGTGTGGTGCGGGGTCGGCAAGAGGCCTGGGTTACACCCCCCCCACCCCCGGCGACCCCGCACTAGCAAAGAATTTCAACTTTCAGACAAACAACTTCATTTACAAGTGTGTCTCTAATTAGCTGCAGAATTAGTAAAGCAGCGTTTTCCCCCCATAGATCGGCCAAACCCCTGAGGGAGGCTGTGGAATAGAGAGAATCGCATTTCCAATTATTTTGTTGAATTGCTAATTTAGTTATTGTGCCTGGCGTAATTGTGATGGGTATTGGGTGTGCAATTCAATTTGTTTTAAATATTTGTGGGAAGGCTGATCAGTAATGGAGCTGACCTATTTCATGGCCCAAATTGAGAGAAGAGACTAAAACAAAAAACAGCTACAAAGCCACAGTTTGTCTCAGTTTTTATTTTGATGTCTCTCATCCCTCTTAAGACTGTTGATGCAACAAAAGGTTTACATTAAAAGATGATGGCACTTTGATCTTGGGCTTTTGAGAGCTTACAGCTTTGGTACTTCTTTTCTTGGCATTTTAATATGTAGATATTTTAGGCTAAAGAGTTTTAAATGCATTTCTCGAGTTCAATAGGGTTCCCCCTCCCTCCCCCAATAAATTGTATTGTTTGTTAAGGTGATTTATGTTTTTAACCCTCAGGCTTCTGGTTTGGGAAACGCATGAGAACGACTGCTGGAGTTTTGGTTGCCTTCATGGTACAACGTAACGCGTCAGGCTAACACTTACCTTTAACGTGGGGAGCTTTTGAAACGTGCGTTTGCTGGGAACGCCGAGGTTAGTGCGGGGCCCTTGCAGCTCCGTTTCTGACGGGCAGCAGCTCACCAAGTCCCTGCCCACGAAACCTCTCCGTGGAGAGAGTTAATGCAAGTTCCTCCACCAGCGTCGACAGCAGTCGCTGGCGCTGGGTTCTCCTTTTCTGTTTGCTTCAGTCAGTGCAATGTTAAAGATGAAACTGAAACTGGGGAGGAGGAAGGGGATTTGCTTGTGGTTTAGCTGGGGCAGAGGCTGCGGGACGTGAGGTGTGCAGAGCGCCGAGCCGGGGGCGAGGAGCTGCTCTGCCCGGGCACCCACCGCCCCGCGCGGGTACCCCCGCGGCCGCAGCTCCTCCGGCA